AGCTCCCATCTCTAGTTCCAGCTCCTGCCAACCTAGCAGTTCGAAAGCAAGAAATTGCAAGTAGATAAATAGGTACCGCTTCGGTGGGAAGGTCACAGCGTTCCGTGCGCCTTGGTGTTTAGTCATGCCGGCCACATGACCACGGAAACGTCTTCGGACAGCGCTGGCTCTTCGGCTGGGAAACGGAGATGAGCACCGCAACCCTAGAGTCAGATTCAACTGGCTTTCGAGCAAGGGAACCTTTACCTTTATAATGGAACTGCTGAGCAGGATTTGACCGTGTTCTTGCTTTCTGATACTGATGCACATGTTACTAGCAGAATGGCTTTGTTTGCACTGGCGGCAAAAAAAGATAAGACGGGGTCTAGGACTTACTGCAAGTTATTGATGTATCTTTCTGTTGTGCTTTGATTTCCTTTGTGCTGTTATGGCCAATGGCTAAGACAATAAACGAAACTTGGACTCTTGAGAGTCCCTTGGACTGCAAGGAGATCAAATCAGTCCATCCTAAAAGAAATCAGCCCTGACTGTTCCCTGGAAGGCCAGATAATGAAACTGAAGCTCAAATACTTTGGCCACCCAATGAGAAGGGACGGGAGCACTCCCTGGAGAAGACCCTGATGCTGGGAAAGACTGAAGGTCAAAGACGGGGACAGCAAAGGATGAGATGGTTATTAGACAGTGTCATCGATGCAACGAACATGAAATTGAGCCAACTTCAGAGGACGGCGGAAGACCGGAAGGCCTGGCGGGATCTGGTGCATGGGGTCGCGAAGAGTCGGACTCTCGACTGTGCGACTGAACAACAACAAAAGCGGCCCCAGGAAATGACCTTATTTAAAACACGGGGCTGTCAGCGTCCCACACTTCAAAGATTTGTTGATTTTTATTTGTTTTAATTGAATGTTCTGTAATGACTAAACCAGGGTTTTGTGCTCATCACTCTTCCATCTGTAAAAATGGGGCACAGACACACACACCCCGTGAAGTGCGGGTCCTGCTCACTGGTGTGCTTGGGCCAGTCTCTCTCTCTCTCTTTTAACTTTCTGGATTGTTGTGAGGATAAAATGGGGAGGAGCAAAATGTATACTCCCTGAAGCAGGGGTTATTTCGTAGAAAAACAGGTGCAGGAGCTCATTAGCACAAATTATTTGCATATGCCACACTCCCTGACATCACCCACCGCTCAGGCTCCACTGGACTGTTTTGGATTGCTAGCTTTTGGGGGGGGGGACGCGCAAAGGAGGGAGAGCTTGTACCTGAATAAAACTCGGTCTTAAAAGTGCCACTGGACTGTTTTTTGGGGGGAGCTCTGCAACTTACCTGGCTGCTTCTTGCTCTGACTGAGGGCTGCTGGGAGCAGAGAGTGGGGCTTGTTGCATATGCCCGTCCCCTGGGCTCTTCACTGCCAGAGCTCTGCCACCACCCCCTATAGATCTATAGGGGGGGTGGCTCTGCTCCTGTGCGCTCCTGCAGGAAATGATCCCTGCCGCTAAACATCTTGGAGGAAAAGTGAGATAAAGATGTATTAAGGAAAGTGAGCATGGAGAAAAATTAATTTTTATCATTCTTTAACCACCCTGACTCTGTCAAAATGATTTAGATGTGCTAAGAAGAAAAAAATGTTCGGCAATCCTGTCCATAAGGCATGCTGCTGTTTTATGAACATCTTATTCTTGCCTTTTTTGAGAGAGAGAGAGAGAGATTGGATTTATACCCCGCCCTTCCCTACTCTGCCATACTTAGGGATTCATATCCCACACGACCTTAAAAATTTGATCAAAATTAATCATCTACAAAAACTCCGAGAGATTCAAATAACTCTCTCAAGCTGGAACAAACAAATGCTCTCGTTCTTGGATAGATTACATCGCTGCATGTGGAGGAGTGGAGAATCAAACCCGGTTCTCCCAAAATAGAGTCCACACTCCTAAACTCAGAATAAACTTTACAGGACAAAATCATAGATTACGTGTTCAGTTTATTTCTACAGTCCTTAGACCAGTCATACAAAAAGTACACCTTTCCAACATTTCAAGATTTTAAAATACATCAGTAAAACACTAAAAGCAGATTAAAGTTTAGTCTAATATCAAACTCAGTTCACACATTCAGCTGCCAACCATCCAATATGTACAAAGCAAGCCACATAATTAATTGCATGTGTGAACCAAAACCTGGACCAAGCTGTCTGAGAATACTGGTTTACCTTTTGTTGTTGTAATAATGCCTTGTATTGCACTGAATAAACATGCCCTGAAAAACGTATTCAGACTACACACTACACCAAAGGGATTACTCCAGAGAAAATTACTTACCACCTACTGTCCTTGTCTTATTTTGAATAAATCTCTCTCTCTCTCTCTCTCTCTCTCTCTCTCTCTCTCTGTCACACACACACACAATACACCTATTGGGGTTTTTTAGTCACTAGGTCACATGACATTTTAGAATGTTTTCTCCTGCAATCTTATGCATAATTACATAGCAGTAACTACTAGGGCTGCCAACTTTGGGCTGGGAAATTCCTGGAGATTTGGGGGTACAACCTGAGGAGGGCAGGGACCTCAGCAGAGTACAATGCCATAGAGTCTACCCTCCAAAGCAGCTGTTTTATCGAGGGGAATTGATTGCTGTATGCTGGAGACCAGTTGTAATTCCAGGAGATTTCCAGGCCCTACCTAGAAGTTGAGAAAACGTGGAAAAACACTGTGTTGTAAGGTCATTTCCCGGTGGGAACCAGCTTTGATATAAAAATTCCGCTTGTCTAGAGTTGTCCGGTAGTAGTTTGTATCTGAGAGCATGCCAAATTAACAAGAATCAAAGATGTTACGAGCAGAACAGGTCTTCTATCAAAACAGATCTTAGAAAACAAGTTACATGCTCCCATCCCTTGGTTCTTCTATCTTCAACTTAACCATGCCTTGTCTAGCTGGAAAATTATCTCCCCTCAAGCACCCCCTAAAACAGCCCTTGAAAATATAATTGATTCAACGGGAACTTCATCCAAATGGTCTAATTTCTAAGATCTACAAAATACTACTCAACCTATATGACGCAAAAAATCTACCCTACAAAAACAAGTGGCAATCAGAATGTGGTATCACGATCACAGATGATCTATGGGACAAAGTATGGTCCTCACCTACAATTACATCACCGGTCATTAATACTCAACTACAGTCGTATAAGATCATAACGCGTTGGTACTTGACTCCTCGCAAACTCGCGTTCTCCTCACCAAGCTCATCACCTATCTGTTGGAGGAAATGTGGAAGCATTGGAACGTACGCCCATTGTTGGTGGGAGTGCCCAAAACTAAACTCTTTCTGGCAAGAAGTCCTTAATAAGATTAAAATTATCACAGGCTATGAAGTACCCCTGAAGCCAGAGATTCTCTTCCTCTCCATCTGGAAAAATTCTCAAATTCCGCCAATCAGTAAAGATCTCATATTCAGCTTAATAGTTGCAGCGCGCTCCTGCATAGCCGCCAGATGGAAATCTCATCTTCTTCCTACAATTGAGCAGTGGTACACGAAAGTTTGGGACCTATATATCCTCGAAAAAATTACAGACCATGTCAG